ATTTTTTACTGGACTTTATGTGGAAGTAGGGGCAGATAAAAGTTACCATCAAGAAATACCGAGCACTTTAAGGCACGGGACGGGTCGAAGTAGTGTGTTATTTTGCTCGGAAATTGGACAAGAAATGCGATGAGGAACGAGAGTGGGGAGAAAAAGCGGGAAGCTCCACAGAAAACGCTGAAATTACCCTTGTGAGGTCGGCCGTGGTATGACGGAGAAAATATTACTACGAGGAGAGAAAACGCGAGAGAGCACGTCGCGAGATTGCGCAGACCCCACGTATGCTTCCATTGATAGAGTGGTAGCGCCGGCAGTGTGAAAGGCAAGACCTTCGCGCCGTGCAAACGCTCAAGCGAGCTTATCGTAGTGCTCGTCCTCAGCGAATGAACTGGAAAAAATTTGTTCCATTCCTTGGGTCTCAAGTCGTTTTCCCTCGGATTCTTCTTGAACATTGCACCCATTACCACGTCTCCTTTCACTATAAGGCAAGGATTTTACATACCAATCCATTTCGAATATCACTATTTATGATATGATTCCGGGGGGGGTCAATGTTTACTTCCTTTTTCCACAAGGATAACAGTCGTGAAGCTGAATTTCGCCCATGTCAATTTCGAGGCTATCAAAATCGGCAAGACATGCTGCGCAGAGAAGTGATCGAGACCCTTGAGCAGGTGCAGTCAACAAGTAGGAGGTTGGTAGAGTGAGGGAGGTGGGGAGGGGTGACCGTATTTCAGCCAAACTACCAATTTTGAACTGCATGTTGTTTCGGGACGTGATGAAGGCGTAGCTATCAAATCGTCTGATAGAAGCTCTTCTCGGTAGTATTTTATGATTGCATGAACAAGCTCCTGGGTCTGAGTGCAGCATTTGGTAGCGGGGTATTCGCTTTGGCGTGAGCAGCTTTATCCTCACGTTTTTTCCTAATCTAAGAACTAGCACGACAGGAGCTTCTTAGGGAAGAGGTCTGCTCCTGAACGCGTTGGTGAGTATCTACCCGACGAGAGTCATGCGGTGATCCTCTCGAAGTGGTTGCAGCTCTCAATCCCTGTCATCACTTTCTGTAGAAAGTCCCTCCCAAGAAGCCCAAGAACATGCAACACTAGAGTGACAGAGTCGGTCGGTGAGCTGCCGCCGGGTCGATTGATGGGAAATTGTCCTAAGCCGTGTTCATGTCGTACTCACTAACTTTGTAATAATAATTAACATAACAGAACAAAAACAGGGCAGTTTTCAGTGTTTTCATTTGATAACTTCGAATAACGGTTGCGTTCAGGGACCTATATTGCTCTCACACTTCTGCTCTACACAGCCATTGTCCATCCGTTTTTCTATCAGTCAAGTATAACAATGAAACACTGCTACATATTTATTGCTTCAATATGGGTATGCTCGACTTTAGCATCGGTACGATCATATGCTTTTCCTTTTTTGCTTTATATTCTCCTTTACTACTCATTACCTTCAAGTGAGAGCGATGTTGTCAACATTTGCGCGGAATTCCTCTAATTGACTGTTAAATTCCGCTTGGAAGCGAGGGATTACGATAAAGCGTGTTGTGCAGTGTGCGAAGTGAAACGCACACCACCAAGGAAAGCAAGTAATCAGGGGAGGCTGAGGAGAAGCGACAAATGTGGCCTCTCTCGGCGGAAGATGCGCTAGTTGGCACCGATGAGATAGCCGAATCCTCTCCGAGTGGTCGGCGCCGGAAGATTTAGTTCCCTCATACGGTGAGATCACTGGAGTGCTGATCCTTAAAGGAATCTTGCGCGGAAAATTCTTGCACTCTTTCCTAACATGAATATGTCAGTTGTGATCACTGGAAATAGCACACAAAGTTTCACGCATGAAGATTCGGTTTCTGAAGAGAAACAAACGTACAAAAACTACACGTTATGGACCATCGAAGGACCAGGAGGCAGAGCCAGGCGAGGCATGGAAAGAAGACGGCGTTTGGCCGGCTACGTACCAGGCGACGCAATGAGAGAATCGGGTTAAAGCGCGCGATTTCGGAGAGTGGAGACAAATCGATCGATGGAATAGGATGGAGTAGAAGTGTAAGATGTGAATGCAACGAAGCAGAAGGCCAGAAAGAGCTTCTAGTGAATGCACTCCAAGAACCAAGTTTGAGCATCCCCGTCGCCAGCATTCGTGAAAGACGTCCGTGGGCAATTCGAACGCGTAGCAGCCTTTTCGAGTTTTCGAATTTCTAATCAAAACGAAAGCAATACTTCAGTTCTTTTCACTATTATCGTGGATAATGAGTCTCAAGCCAGTGATTTATGGCTGAAATAGAATCATGATTTTTCCGCGCAAGATTCCTTTAAAGCTTATACACAAGTATTAGGTATGCTTTCACATTGGTTATGCTTAAGCGGATAAAGAAAACGGCTCTCCTCTGCTTAAAGCGGCTAGAGGGTCAGACACAGCGAGAAGAGGGCGTACCGCGCCGATAGCGCACCTATGGCGCCGCGGGGGAAGCCATGCTTGGTCGCTAGGGCATATCCTTCGAAGCTAATTGCACGGTCGCTCCGTACCCATGGGAGGTCTGCCTGTCTCTCAACTAGCTAAGTTTCCCTTCTTCACACTTCGTCCTTATCATCGGCCCTGTTAAATCCCCTTTTTAAACTGCGGTATTGCGCTGTTTCCGCGCGGCCCGAGCCTGTCGTAATTCGGCCTAGCTGGCTATTCATTGGTAAAGGTCTGGCATCACGATCGTACCACGAGCTATTTGTGAATTGCTAGCAGCAGGAATGCTTAAAATCCTACTTTTCCTAGAACAAAGCCGCAAAACCGACAAAAAAATGCTTCCATAATGCAGGAGATGCGTTACTTATACGTCATTTGTACTATCCGAGAACTTCGAAAATGTAAACCGAAAATCACTCCGGATCGCCTGGTTTTTTTTTTCAATCGGAAAAGAGAGAATTCGAGCATATCCTGGACAATTCCCTGCTAAACTCATTTACAGAGAGCGGTTATGATGATGTTTCAATCAGACTACATCAGGCAGTACATTAACCGTTTCAGCTATGCGTCGGTCTATGGGGTGCGACTCTGTTCTATCCAGAGAGTGCTCCAGTCCATTGCAGCTATCGTGGATGTCAAAAACCGCTTGCAGTCATAATAGGTTGGTCCCTCACGGCACTTTAATTACGGTTAAGTCGATCACTCAAATAATGCGTTCAAAAATAGTGAAGTTTATTGACTTGTTTTTGTTTGCTAACTGCTGCTTTGGCCGCAGTTCGCCCTGCGAACGTTTTACAAGAATGCTGGGTTGTGAACAAAACTTTCGCCCCAGGCGGGATTAGAACCCGCACCTCTCGCTCTCTCTCTGTCTCTCTTTCTCTCTCGAAAGTCCCGCCTGGGCGAAAGCTTTGTTCACGACCCAGCATTCTTGTGAAAGTAAAGTTTATTTTCTGACGCATTTTATGTAGACTGGTTCGATGTCTCATGTCCCCCCCCAGCTCTAGAGTTTTTGTCGGGTTTTCTGCGCAATGTACCCGCGGAGCACGTATTCCATATAAGGGTTACGGCGACGTTCAGTGTTACACTAAAGAGCGATTACCCTGTCACGGTGGTGAACAAACGTAGCTCAGGGTGAAGCCAATACCGTTCGTTTTCCACGGTATCTGCTCCCCCACCCCCCTTCCACCCCAGACTTAGTCTCAGCTCCTAGCACTCAATAGGGTCATTCAGGACGAGCTGCGCTTCAGAAACCTTTGTACTGTGTCTTGTAGGAACACATCCGTTTGAACACAAGGCCGTGTTTCATTTTCGATCAACGGTGTTAGTAAAGCCAAACACGTGATGAAAGTGTTGCTAATGGTTCAATTCCCCGTGATGACAAATACTGCACTTTGGGTTGTCGCACGGGTTGCGGCCGAATAGCTTCAAGGTCAAAACCCCGAACTCATGACTCGCAGCTATGCCCTACCAGAGTGCTTTAAAAGAGAGCCAGCAGGAAAGCAGTGCAGCCAAATGAAAATTGGATTCACTCCTTTTTTGGTGTTTCTAGAACCGATCAAAGTCAAATAATCACCTGTTTTTGTTTCCCATTTGTATGCTCTACAGCATGCAGGGAAAAGGTTCAAAGAAACGCGGTTCGCCCTGGAGCAGGGTCAACCATCCATTGTAACAACTCCAACGAGGGAGGGGTCGTAGTAGGAAAGGAGTTGGAGTATTCTACCGATCTCAGAATTAAATACTGTGCATAGAAACAGCCATGGTGGAAAGGTCACATGGGCGTCCTGCCTAGGTTGGGGATGGTGGTGAGGAGGTCGTATCGAGGAATTCTCGAAACTGACTCAAGGGACCGGTTGAACACCGCCTGAGAAATGTCTTCTTCTTCTTCTTTTTCTTTAGCGTTTGTCCCGCCTGGTGGCAGGGTCCGCTTTTCTGATGTGTTGACGCCACTTTTCCCTATTGAATGCCTGATCGGGATGGATACCAGCTAACTTTAAGTCCATATGCAATGTATCAAGCCAGCGCTGCTTTGGACGTCCCTTAGGCCGTTTGCCGGGCACATCGATGTTGAGGCTCATCTTACGCACAGTGTCATCGTTTCCACGAAGCACATGACCATACCATCGAAGTCGAGCTTCCCGCATCTTATCAGCAATAGGAGCTACACCAAAGCGATCGCGTATGGTATCATTACAAATACGATCTAAACGCGTGACACCAGCCGTCCAGCGCAGCATTTTCGTCTCCATTACACCGAGGCGGGCTTCCATTTCCTTAGTCGTGGGCCAGCACTCAGCGCCGTACATTGCCACCGGTCTTATGACGGTTCTATAGATCTTCGATTTCAGGCGTTCTGGAATCTTTTTGTCGCAGAGAACACCCGTCATAGAACGCCACTTGGACCATGCAGCACTCACGCGTGAACTCACTTCAGTACCCATACTACCATCTGACGCTATTACCGATCCAAGATACTTGAACGTGGTCGTGCGTGATAGCTCTGTGCCGTTAATTCTTACCGAACTGTGTTCGCTCAAGTCGGTTGTCAAGTACTCGGTCTTTTTGACATTCAACCTGAGTCCGAACATCGCTAGGCGATCGGCCCAAGCTTGCACTTGCTGCTCGAGTGAGTTTTTGTCTTCGCAGGCGAGCATCACGTCATCGGCATAGAGGAGCGTCCATGGAGCCGGTTTCTGGAGGTCTCGTGATATGGCATCCATGACGACAACGAAAAGGAGTGGGGATAGTGCAGAGCCTTGGTGCACCCCAACAGAGATGGGGAATTCCATTGAGGTTCCTGCTGACGTTTGCACTCGGCTCTTTGAGCTCGAGTATAGCATGCGAACCCACTCAATAAGTTCTTCGGGGACGCCACGTTGTCTCAGAGCGTACCATATTACATCACGCGGAACGCGATCGAAAGCCTTTTCTAAGTCTAGGAAGGCAAAATGCAGAGGCTTCCGTTTCTCGCGGTGTTTTTCTAACAGTAGACGAGCGGCATGTAGTGCATCGATGGTACTAACGCCGCTTACAAATCCACACTGGTTCGTGGCGAGCTGCACTATGTCGCGAATACGACGATCTATAATTCGCTCAAATATCTTCATGGCGTGGGAAAGTAGACGAATTGGACGGTAGCTCGTGCAGTCTGCGGGGCTGCCCTTCTTTTTCCAGATGGGAATCGTCGTGCTCTGGCACCAACTCGCAGGCACTTTCTTTTCTGCAACAACTTGGTTGAAGAACTTCGTCAACCACTCCGCAGGATGCCAGCACTGTGACTTCCACAGATCGGCTGCCAAGTCGTCGGGACCCGTTGCTTTACCTGTCTTCATCTTCTTCAGCGCCGCTTCAGTTTCTTCCACAGTTATCTTCGAGACGGGACCGTAGACGGGAGGGGCAGAAGGGATTGGCGGATGTGAGAATTCTACTGTCGAGATTCTCTCGAAGTAGTCGTGCCATCGCTTTACTGCCTTCTTGCGGTCCATTAGGAGCCGCCCGTTCTCGTCATTAATGCCGAAAAACTTCTCGACATCCTCGGTTTGGCGATGGCGAGCTTTGGCTAGTCTGTAGACATATCGTTCGCCATCGCGCGTCTCGAGTTTCTCGCTAACGCTGGCGAAGTGAGCAGCTTTGACGATAGCCACGGCTTTCTTTGCAGCCTTCTTCGCCTTCTGGTAGTTCTCCCAGTTCTCGGCTGTTTTGTCGTTGAGGAACGTATGATAGGATCTTTTCTTCTCTCGCAGTTTTTCCTTGACAGTATCCGTCCACAGCCATGTTTGTTTGTCAATTTTCCGACGCCCAGGCTTTGTGGTGCCGAGTTCGGAGCGAGCGACACGGACTATCGCTTCGGTGGCACTTTCCCACGTTTCGTCGACGGTCGTTACTGTCGGTAAGCGAATGCGGGAAAACAGTGCAGATTCTTTTTCTTTCAGTCGCCACCACTTGATCCTTGCAGGCCCGCACCGTTCAACTTGCTTTACTTTCGGAGGAGTGATCTTCAGGGTGCAGATCAGTGGTCGGTGTTGCGTGGCGACCGTCTCGTACGGCACCGTCTTCGCGTCCGTCACTAGCCCTCTATCACGCTGCCTGACGAGGACAAAATCAATTTGCGTTCTGGTATCCCCACTGTAAAACGAGATGAGGTGGGAGTCACGTTTGCGATAGTTTGTGTTCACGATGGTGAGGTTGTGCGAGTTTGCATACTCTAGAATTCTCTCGCCATCGGCGTTTCGTGACCCATACCCAAATCCGCCATGACAGCTGTAACCATCTTTCGTAGCCCCCACGTGACCATTTAGGTCACCGGCAACAATTAGGGCATCCTGCGATGGTACATCAGCTGTTTTGTCATCCAGCAAGGCCCAGAACTGGTCCTTGGCGTGTTCGGAGCAGCCTGTCTGCGGAGCGTACGCAGAGAAGAAGTGATATTGACGTTGCTCAAAAGCGACAACGATCTTCATTAGGCGGTCATCGTAACGTTCAACGCTGACAATCGAGTCACGGAAACGTTCAGAAACGATAACACCGACACCGTTAGTTGTCCCGGGACTGCCGCAAAGAATGGCTTTGAAGCCACGGCCAAGGTCCTTCGATTTGCAGCAGGACCACCTCGTTTCTTGCACAGCACAGAGATCAATTCGTCTGCGCTCCAGTGTCTCTACCAACTCAAAAGAGCGGCCCGACAACGTGCCAACATTCAACGTTGCGACGCGAGTCTTGCATACGTTGCGGGACTTTTGGACTAGCCTAGTTGCCCCCCGATGCCGTCCTTGCACCGAGACCCTCGCATACTTTTCACACTCGCCGGGCTTTGCGAGTGCGCGTCGGCTCCCGCGGACGCCGTAGCATTATCTCGAAATCATATAGCGACATTGACATTTGTGATGTGACGTGGGTGTTCGTAGGCCGGCCTGTCACGGGGGCCTGTCGCCTGCATTCGAATGTCCGCGTTCAGCTCAGCTCACAAAAGTGAGCAGTTCCCAGTGGCACCACTTGGAGGAGCGGACTTCACCACCACCCCTGTTATCCTCCTGTAGAGTGAATCTGTTCCACAACCCTACACAACAGGTAAAGGACTAATCCCCCCCCTCCCTTTCACCCAAGGTACACTACACCATGAAATACACTTTGTGCGGCCTAATACAGATTTTTACAGTGATCGGTCTATCGATTTCATACGCTACGGTACTTGGACTGTATGCAATGCTGCTATTACGCCTTCATATGCGTCTTCGTCGATCTCGCGTGGTAGCTATTGGAAGTTTCAAGGTATTTGTTTTTTTTGTAGTTTTAACAAGAACATAGGCGAACCAAAATATGTGATGTTGAAGTGTGTCCGTTTGAAGGGCCTTTCAGTAACTTCACTGTATTTTCCTAATTTTCAAACTTTTTTTTTACCTAGGAGTGCCGTGAACCCTCTAAGGTTACATATAAAATGTAGTCCTCCATCAGAAATGATCGTGAGCATGAATAAGGAAATCCGAACACTTTTTTTTCGGGCAACACTTCCTCACACCAGATTGATGGCTGCAGTCGGGATGGCTGCAAAAAACGGAGATTCGAG